TCCCTTCTCCTCCATTCTCCTCTCGGGATCTTGGGCACGCACGCACACGCGCCCGGCGTGAGTTTAAGCCACCAGGTCCGGGACATGAACCGCGGTCGACTACGTGGGAGTCCAGCGACATAGCCATTACGCCAACTGCTGGTTCCCTCCCCTGCCTTCTCATCCCCAGCTTCAGGCTCCAAGGACCCCGTCCCTGTGCACTGCCTACTCCATGCCCCCGCAGGCTCCCCAGACACCTCAGACTCTGAACAGCCCTCCCTTGTCCCCAGCCCCATGCCCCACGGCCAAGCCAGAGGCCAGGGTCAGTGTGAGCCTCTGCCCTGCACACCACCTGCTTCCTCATCCTAAGCCTCTGCCCATCCCCCCACGTGGGCCTCCCCGCCACTGGCCCCACCAGAAAACCTGCAGGACTGTCCAACAAGCACGGGCCGTGGTGCTCGCCTGCCTCCAGCCGTCCACATGTTGCCTCTCGGCTCCTGAGACAAAGCCAGGCCCTAACAGAGCTCACAGGACCCTGACCTGGGACCTGCCACCCTCTGCTGCCTTGTCAGCCACCACTGGACCCACCTAGAACTTCTTCCCACCCTGCGATTATGTCCCCTCCAGAGTTTGGCGGATGTGGGACCCAGTGCCTGGATGCCTTTCCCCAACTTGCTGTTGTTTAGGTCTCAGCTCAGGTGCCACCTCCTTCAGGAAGCCTCCCTGGATTCAGCCCTCCACTCTCACACTAGCAGAGGTCTTTTCTGAACTTCCCGCAGCAGCGCACATGCCGCATTGTTCTGGACCTCTCCGCTGTGCTGTAAGACTTGATCGCGACCTGGCTGGGCCTAGCACCGACTGAGCACAGGGCTGGGAACCTCACCGCCATCTTGGGAGGGAACTGAGGCTTAGAGGGGAGCACAGCTGCACTCCGACCTGGCTAGGGTCAAGCTTGGTCTGCATTTCCTGCTGCTCAGGGCCTGGCACCTGTAGGCCCCCGAGCAGTTTTGCTGACGCTCCACCGCCTTGGGAGTGAGTTATAGCCTCTTTCCTTGTATGTGCTCACAGAGGGGCGGGAGCTGCCTGGCATCCTCGGGAGGGGGGGTGTCAAGGGGGGCGAGTGCGCCTGGGCCAGGGACAGCCACAGCGAAGTGAAGTGCCTGGACCCCGCCCCACCCCGCCCCACCCTCCCTCCTGGTAACCTAAGCCCCTGCCTCCTACTGGCACCTGCCACTTCCTTGGTCCAAAATAACTTGGACTCACACAGGCCAGGGGTCCAGGATGGAGTTGGGTTACCGGTTAAACACCCAGGCCTTCTAAGGTCCCTGGGTTGAGGCCCCAGCAACTCCTAGTGTGACTGGGTGGTCTGCAACGAGGCCTGAGGAGCCCAGGAACTGTGGTGTAACCCCAATCACGAAGCAAGGCCAGGATAAGACCTCGTTCGCCCAGCTCCTGACCCAGGAGCAGCTGCCCAGCAGCTGTCAACTGACTAGAGTTCAAACCCCAACTCCACCCCTCGGCTGTGTGACCTTGGGTAGCTGGTGTCCCCTCTCTGGGTAAGCAGCCGAGCAGTGCTGCAGGAAGGCTCTGGGACCCCACAGAGTCCTACTCCTGACAGGAGGCTGGGGCAGGTGCTGAGCATCCAGGGGACTCTGGGTCCCCCAGCACTTGAAGCAATATACAGGAGAGTCCTGCCGAGTGCACAGGCTGTCCCCGCACAGGCCCTCTGGGACAGGGAGCTGGACCACAGCACCCCTCCCTGGGCCTCAGCTGGGACGTGCCAAGGGCAGGGACCTAGAGCCCCAGGAGTGCCGGCTGGGACAAAGGGGTGACTGTCTGGGAGACTGGGAGGGGCTGCAACACACATGCATGTGCACGCACACACGCACACACAGACCCACAGAGGCACACACAGTGTGGCAAAATACTCAGAGCCCGGGGAATAGAGACGTGCAAATACACACACAGCACACCCACAGACACACAAAACCCCAGGGTGGCCTGACACAAACACACACAAACACACACAAACACACACACCCCGCTCCAGGTGAGCTTCCTCACTCCCCACAGAGGTGCCCAGGCCACACACACACACACATCCACACAGACACACACTGACCTGGGGGAGGGGTGCGGTGGGCGCCGGGGCCAGTGCGTGCCCTGCCTGTCCTCGCCAGCCGCCTGCAAAGGCGACTATTTATAAGGCTGTCAGCGCGCTGCATGCCGGGAGCTGGGAGCCGGCACTCTGCGAAGCAGGGAGGGAGTGGAGGAGGGAGGGAGAGCAGACTGGGAAGGGAGGGGGCCTGGACCGGGAGCCTGATGGGCAGCTAGGGCTGGACTGGCACCCCTGCCATGCACTCCCAGGGGCTGTGTCTGCACGGTGCACCTCACTTTGCAGCGCACCAAGGGTTTCTGTCCCTCTGTCACCTTCCTCTGTGCCCACATCTTTTCAGAGGAACAAGGCCAGATTTCCCGTATGACAGCGGGAGAAACTGAGGCCCAGCAAGGAGAGGCCCTTTGCACAAGATCCCATGGGGCATTGGTGGGAGAGAAAGACCAGGGAGGAAGGGGGAAGCCATGGACTCTGGGACCACAGTTGTAAGCCCTTCTGGGACTGAAACTCCCCAGGACCCAAAGACCAACCCAAACGTGCACTTCCAGCCAGTGGTCGGGTGGATGACTGTAAGAAACCAGCCCTGCCCCCACGGAGCTGTTGGGTAGCTCCCAAAGGCTGAGCTCTGGGAGGGAGAGCTCAGAACACGGTGGGTGCCTGGGTGAGAGGCAGAGGATCCTGATGGGAGAAGAGCCCCCATTAATCAGCACTCACTGGGCAGGCGGCAGACACTGAGGGGGACGTGGAGCTGTGTAAAGTAGCCGGCCTCGGGTTTCCTGGTAGAAAGAGATGCCTTATCCTGCATTTTGTAGGGAGAGTGTCAAGGCAGGAGAGCCCAGAACCATCCAGCCTTCGAACACATGCCCTTGACCACCCGGCCTGGCCAGCCCACCCACATCGTGACCATGAAGGCAGCAGCCCCAGAGGATGGAGTGGGTCAAATCTGGAATTTGTCTTGTAGGCACCAGGGAGCCATAGAAGGTCTTTGAGCAAGAGTGAGACACAGGCGAGAAGACCACCTCACATGGTGGTGCCTTTACGATCATAGGAGCCAAAACACCAGGAAGCCTGGTTCAGTCCCCACTCTGTCACCTGTGATGGTGGACTTGCCCTTCTTAGGACCTTAGTGTTTTGGGGGAGGGTGCAGTGGGTCAGAGATTCTGCATTAGGAGCTGTTTGAAATTCCTCTCAGGGCTGGCAGGTGGCGTGGTGGTTAAAGGTGCTGGATTCCTACATGGCCAACTGTGGTTCGAGTCCCAAACCTGGCAACTTGGTTTCTCACTTTCTCTCTCTCTCTCTCGCTCTCTCTGTCCTCTCTCTCCAGACTGATAGACAGAAACAAATGAATAAATAAATAAATAAAGTTAAATAAAATAATTTTAAAAAGAAAAAGAAAGAAATTCCTCTCAATAGCCCTGGATAGGTGTGTGCATTGGTGAGACCCTTAGAGAAAGCAAAGGAAACAGACATGGGCACGAAATTCACACAGGCCGGTTTTCTCGTGCCAGTGGGGGGCGGGTGGGGAGGTTATGACTGCCGTACAGGCTGGGTGAGAAGGGAACCCGGAGTGCCCCGGGGCTGGTGGGGCAAGCAGCCCGACACAGCCAGCTTCAGAGAGAAGCAGGCCAAAATAATCTGCACGAGTCTGATCTCATCTGCATAAAGACATCTCCAGACAGGAGGGCTGTGTGTTGCGTGAGCACGTGTGTGTGTGCATGGGTAGAATCCAGTTCCATCTGTATGTGGATAGATAGATATTTGCATTTTAACTGTGCAGAGTTAAAATCACGTTGCCTTACAATCAAGCCAGTGACATCTTAGAGCTGATGAAAGGAAGCAGGACTGACTCCCTGGCCGGATGCAGCAAATTTCACTTCTCACTTAAAGGCTTCCTCAAGTGTGTTGGTTTTCCTTACAGTAAGCGTCTACCACTGTATAAGACAATTGTGACACGGATGAGCCTGGAGGACGGCACGCCAAGCAAACCGAGGCAGTCGCAAAGACTGCTCTTCACTTACGTCAGCTGCTGACACAGTCAGAGTCACAGAAATGGACACAGAGGGGTGGTTGCCGGAGGCTGGGGAAATGGAAAAGGGGGATTTAGTGGGTACAGATGTCAAATCTGCAAGGTAGAAAATAGAAAAGCGTTGGAGATCTGTTACACAGCTGGGTAAAAATGATTAAGAACATTTTGGAGTCAGCAGGTAGTGTGGGGTTAAGGTGCTGGACTATCACATGGCTGACCACGGTTCGAGTCCCACACCTGGTGGCTTGAAAATTATACTGGGTGCATGTGTGTGTGCGCCCAAGAGCCCAGGAGGAGAATGGAGAAGAAAAGCTCGGCCATCCCCCAGGAGGTGATTTCTCACTTTCCTTCTCACTGTCTCTGTATCTCTCTGCCAAACACCTGGGCCCTATGGCAAAAACCTTTACAAATAAATAAATACAAATTTGAATAAAAAGCAAATCTTAGGGGGCTGGCAGGTGGCATGATGTTTAAGAGCGCTGGACTCTCACGTGGCTAACCGTGGTTTGAGTCCTTGAGCTGGTGGGTTGCTTTCTCACTTTCCCTCTCTCTCTCTGTCTGTCCATCTCTGGTTAAATTAAAGTAAATAAATGAATAAATTAATTAATTAAAAAGTTAAAATAATTCTTATTATTTTATTTGCATGTGACCTATGGAGTTTCCATCAGCTGGGATACTGAAGTTCCAGGATTTTTTAGCTACAACCTAACAAGAGGAAGAAGTAAGGAGGAAGGAAGAGAGGGAAAGGAAAAGTTAGTGTGGAGGGGAATTATACCCTAAACTGTTAATAGGGAATAGGGCGTGGCCGTACCCCAGCTGTCTACCTTGTATCATTTATATGCTTTAAGTTATTTTACAACAAAAAGCATCAAAAAACATAAATGTATAAAAATGGAGCCAACTCGCAAAAATATTTTCAAAATATTTTTGTTAAAAAAAGAATGCCAGGGACCAGACAATGGCACTGCAGGAAAATGTGATGCTCTGCAAGGTTGACCCACATGGGAAGGTTCCTGGTTCGAGTCCGGGGACCTCTGTGAGTACAACAGGCACAGGTTTGCCCATGATCTGGGGCCGGCTGGGGTTGGGGGTGGGTCACTGTGGGGATGCAGTCTCTCTTTCTCTCTCTCTCTCCAGACAAGCCAGCTGGAGGCTGGGGGTGGGGGTGACTCCTGCTGGCTGAGGCTCACAGCCTGACCCACAGGTCAGCATGCAGGAAGTGAGGGCTGTGGGCTGCCCCAGGTGGGCTGGCTGGCGGAACAGGTAGAACCCCTGAACATCCACTGCAAACAGCTGGACAGGAAACCCAGAGAGAAGTGACTACCACTCATGGAGTTTGCAGCTGGAGGGAGACCAACCGGGAGACATCTCCCCAAGGAGGGGTGGGGACCTTTACATAGATATGAGGAAGCCCAAGGCCTCGCAGTGGTGACTGGAGAGGAGGCAGTGCAGGTGTAGGTTGGCATTCAGAGGGGCCTTGAATGCCAAACAAGGAGATGGGTTTGGCCCTAGACAGCACATGGGGAGCCAGCGAAGGTTTCGGAGCAGAGGCCCATGATGAGGCCGGCTTTAGGAAGTTGCCTTGGGAATGAGCAGACCAGTCTCCACCTGAAGGGGTGAGTTTGAGGGGACTAAGCCCCCAGCCTCTTGCCCTGAGTGTCCTCCACCGAAGGCCTGATGCTGGGGTTCTCCAACACAGCGGCCCCCTCCAGAGGCCCTCCCGCTGCCCCCTTTCATACCCGCCAGTAGGCAGACAGCCATATTATTCTGGGACACCTCTGCCTGGACCCAGATTCCCAGAAGCGTTGCGTGGGCGGGGGAGGGCCCTGTTCCCATATCTTTACACCTACTTAGGACCCCACCCAGGCCTCTGCAGAGTGCTGTCCCTCTAGCACTCCCACCTGTCACCGCCTGGTCCGCCCTGGGCATGGGTCCTGCGCACAGGCCCTCCAGCCTCCGGGCCTCCAGCCCAGGCTGTTGAAGTCCCACTTGACTTCCACCAAGGAGGGAGGCTTTGCCGGCTGCTGGGGCTGCCCTGCCTGGCCCTCTGCCCCTGGCCCCTGCAGGCTCCTCTCACCGCTCCCTCCTGCCAGCAAGGCCTGGCTCCCACCACTAGGTGCTTTCCGAGAGCTACTCCTCTCACCCGATGGCCGCCCCCCATCAACTGCCCCTGACAGCACGGCCTGTGGCTACTTACAGACGGCGCAATGTGAGGCACAGGCCAGGTGTCCTCGCTCCCACCCTGGTGGCCCACCGTCCAGCTGGCCTAGTGCCCAGGAGCACTCTCCTTCCGGCCCCCAGCAGCCCTGGGAGCTCCCAGCAGGCGCCAGCCCTTGTCTGCGCAGTCACCCTTTGTCTGCCCTGCTCCCAAGGGCATCTTATCTGCCTCAACAGGTTGTAATCTCCGGAGTCACAGACCCCTGCCTCCTGCCAGCCTGCGGAGAACAGCCCTTTTGTGGAATTGCCACACCCTCGCCAGGGCTGCAGCCGCTCTCCCTCAGAGCCCGCCTCTGCCCGCCTCTGCCCACCCCTGCAGGCCTCCCCGTGCGGCTAGTGCTGTCCGGCCCTGGCCTTGCACTCGCACCTGAACCTCCACAGCTGCTCTGCTCTGCCTGTTGGGACTCTAACCCAACTTCTGCAGGTTCCTCCAGAGCTCTGTCCGGCCCCTCCACCCCCTAGAAGCTGTGTCTGGTCCTGTTTGGGGCATGATGGCACTGGGGCTGCCAGCGGTGAAGCGGCTTGCCCAGGCCGGCTGGGGGAGGCCAGGGCAGGAAAAGTCGAGTGGGCTCAGCCTCTGCCCTGCCCCACCCCACCCCAGAGCCCTCAGCCACTGGATGTCCACCTGAACTGCAAGATACAGAACGGTGGCCACCTGGAAAGGCCCGCAGCGGCGGGTTCTCTGAGCCTCCAGCCCAGGGTGTGGGTGTGGTCTGAGGACGCCCGGGTGCTGGGCCAGACGCTGGGCTGGATGCAGGAGACACAGACGCGAAGCTGAAGTTTAGGTGTGTTTATTCCTGTACAAATCGTTACGAAACCAAGGCTGGGGCACTCGCCGCCTCTGTCACCCCAGTGTGCAATGACTGCTGCTGGTCTCCTGGTCCCTCCCATCCACAGCCTCCTCCTGGAAGCCCTCCCTTCTAGGCTCTGGGAGCACAGGGGCAAGCATGCCCCCCAGAGGCCCAGCTTTAATAAAGTGCCTATGTAGAGCCAGGGGACAGAGCCAGGTGGCAGCTCCTGGTTCCCTACAGCCATCCCAGACCCTGCTTGGGGAGACCCTGGGGAGTCCCCAGAGGCTCCGTGAAAGCCCACACAGTGTAGTTGCCATGCCCTGCCCCAAAGCTCCTGCACAAGGTGGCAGACCTCACAGCTGCATGGCAGAAGAGGCCTGGCCCTCTAAGAGCCAAGCTAGTGGCAGCTGGACTGAGGGGTCACAGGAGCAGCTTAAGGTCCGTCGCTTTCCTGTCAGAATCCCCCAACCCTGAGGGAGTTTGTGCAAAAACACCCTAAAGTTTTCCAAGGAGGTGGGGAAGGACCCCAGGTAACAGCCTCCTGGGGATAGTGGCTGGGGGAGCCGTCTCAGGGAGCACAGGCTTAGGCCGGGGGAATGTCTCTGCCTCTACGAGAGGACCAGAGAGGAGGAGGGGCTTGTCCAAGGTCATCCAGGGAGGATCAAGACTTCCCACCTCCGGGAAAACTCCCAGCCTGCAAATCCTCAAGCCCCACCTCCAGACAGCTCCCCCTCCCCAACACACACTCTCTCTCTTCTGATGCTAGGTATTGAGGGGGCAACACCAAGTCCCCAGCTCCTTGGGACAGGACCCCACTGTCCCAGCTAAGTAGCGAGTGATTTGGGGGTCCATTTCTGGGACTCTGAAGCAAGGCTTCTTGGGAAAGGACACGTCCTTGGCCTCAGACTGACTCAGAAATGCCCATACCCTGATCGGCTAGCTCAGACCCTGACTGGGCAAGAAAGACGCCCCGGACAGCCCTGATTAATCACACAGATTCCCAAATCCCTGATTGGGTGAGAGAGCCCTCGGACCCTGACTGACCCTTGTCAAGGACCCGATTGGCCAGGAGCCACTCCAGCCAGCCACGACTGGTCAGAAGATGGCCGTGGTCGAGCTGGGCGGAGAGCCACGTCTGTGTTCCTCGCGAGGTCCCACAGCAGGGCGGCCTAGGTCCAGGAGGGGTGGGAGAAGGTGATGCCGTACAGCTGGGCCCAGGACGAGAAGACCCTCTTCTCGGTGATGAAGCGGTGGTGGTTGCCCTTGCGGCTGTGCTCGTTCTGGATGTAGGTGACGCACTCGTCCGGCCCCTTGGGCTCGTAGTAGTGGTAGGGCATGCGCTGTGGGCGGGACCGCTGGCTGGGGCAGGAGACAGGGGCCATCAGGCGGGCGGGCCCCCCCTGCCGGGTCCTTGCCCTTCAGCCCCTCACCTGCCGAGCACCTCAGGGGAAGAAAGCCTTGCCCCTCCCTGGGCCTCGGTTTCCCCACCTGTAAAATGTGTATAGGGCAGACTAGATTTTTTTTTTTTTGGAGAGTTTTTCGCTATAGGGCGTATGCGCTCGCCAGACAGACAGAAAGAGACAGAGAGACAGAAAGCGAGATATTGCCCCCCAGGGGGGATGGCCATGCCGCAATCCCTTCTCCTCCATTCTCCTCTCGGGATCTTGGGCACGCATGCATACGTGCCTGGCGTGAGTTTTAAGCCACTAGGTCTGGGACGCGAACCGTGGTTGACTATATGGGAGTCCAGTGACATAGCCATTACGCTAACTGCTGATCCCAGGGCAGACTAGATTTGTAACCGTCAATTAAAGAAACCAAACTTTTTTAAAAAATGCAATGGGACCTTTTTCTTTCCTTTCCTCAGGAGGGCAGCCCCACAGAAGATTAGAGCGGTTACAGACTGTGGGCTCCAGAGCCCGGCCCCACCTCCTATGGTTTCTGGGGCCTTCGGCCAGTCATAAAACATCCTCCTCAGCTTTCTTCATCTATGAAATGGGGAGAAAAACAGTATCTCTCCCTCAGGGCTGCTATGAGAAGTGAGAGAAACGTGCGGGTTTAGCTCGTGGTCCGTGCTCAGGACAGAGGTCCCCCAGCGGATTGTTCAAATGATAACAATAGTGGGGACCAGCAGGTGGCGTGGTGGTTAAGGTGCTGGACACTCCCACATGGCCAACCATGGTTCAAGTCTCGGACCTGGCGGCTTGCTTTCTCTCTCCCTCTCTCTCTCTCTCTCTGTGTGTCTCTCTCTGGTCAAATTAAAATGAATGAATGAATAAATAAAATTAAATAAATAATTGTTTTTTGAAATGATAGCAATAGTTACTGACAGACCAACCCTGGCTGAGCCCAGGAGGGAGCTCAGAGGAGCCCAGATCTCGGCGGGATGGTCTGAATAGAATGAAGTTGAGGCCCTCGAAGGAACCCCCGCCACCGTGTCCAGGCCACCCAGCTCCTTCCTGTGGCCAGGGCGCGGGCATTGCCCTGGGAGGGCTCACCTGCAGTAGTCGGGGGGAACCATGCCGTAGACGTGCACGTGGTCACACAGCTCCACCGCAATCACCATGGTAAACCAGCCCGTGCTCAACCAGGAGTGGGACTTTTCCCTGGGGGCAGAGAGGGGCTGTGATGAGTGGGATGCAGGCAGGGGCGGGGAGCAGGCAGGGAGGAATGAGCAACCCTGTGGCATTGCCCAGAACTCCCCCCTCCCACCTAGCGGGAGCCCCCGCGGGAGTGCCCCCCAGCCTGGCCCGCTACGGAGCGTGGCATGCTGGCAGAGACGAGGGGCATGGAGCAAGCTTTTCTGGGGAAGAGTGAGACGGGGAACGCTGGGAAACAATTCCTGGGAAACAGGGCATAGCTGGGCAGCCTGGGAGTGACCCCGACCCCGGAGTGTGCTCAAAGCAGCTGTGCCCAGGATAGGAGCAAACTCCAAGGGGAGACGAATTAGAGCAGGCCACGCTGGAGCCACGGCAGTTCACAGCGAGGCAGGGAGAGTAGCCGAGAACTCAGACCCCTGCTTCCGCCAAGCGGCACCAGCACGTGTGGCCGCATGCACTTGCCCTGTGGCCGAGGTGTGCTGTAAGGGTAAACACGCACTGGATTTCTCATGCAGCAGGAGAAACAGGTGCAGGGTATATCACTAAGCATTTTTTTAATTGCCAGAGGGCACATGCACTTGCTAGTGAGAAAGGAAGAACGCACCCCCACGGGGCGTAGCAATGCTGCAATCCCTCTTCCTCCATCTCTTCCTCCTGTCAGGATAAACACTGCACCGTGCATGTTTTTAAGCCACCAGGGCAGTCAGCCATGTGAGATCCAGCTCCTTAACCCCTGTGCTGTGGCCTGGCCCTTGTTTTACTTTTAAAGGAATGGGACCTTTGCCTTTCCTTTCCCTAGGAGGGCAGCCCTGGTTACATATCAAACTAAAAATATTTTGCATTTATTTGGTAGAAGGTGGTTCTTTGAAAGAGCAAGCAAAACAAAACAAAACAAAAAATCAAAAAACTCTAGTAAGGGAACCAGCAGTTAGCGTAATGGCTATGTCGCTGGACTCCCACGTAGTCGACCGCGGTTCGTGTCCCGGACCCGGTGGCTTAAAACTCACGCCGGGCGCGTGTGCGTGCGTGCCCAAGATCCCGAGAGGAGAATGGAGGAGAAGGGATTGCGGCGTGACCATCCCCCCTGGGGGGTGATTTCTCGCTTTCTGTCTCTATGTCTCCCTCTGTCTGTCTGGCGAGCGCACGCGCCCTACAGTGAAAATCTCTCAAAAAAAAAAAAAAAAAAAAAAAACTCTAGTAAGACTGACAAAGAGAGAAGATATGAGTTAGCAGCATTGGGAATAAAGAAGGGGAAATTATGGGCACTGTAGACCCTAAAAGATCACTAGGAAATTCCACAAACAACAACATACTAGATTTGACAATTGAGACGAAGTGACTTAAAACCCACAAATTATCAAAAGTTGCCCAGGATGAAATAGATAAGCTGTGTGTCCTATAACTATTAAAGAAATTGAATTCATGGTCAAAAACCTGAGAAAGAACCACTCAGGTCCAGATTGTTTAATTGGCAACTTCTATTAAACGCTTAAAGAAAACAAACACCAACTCCCCATCATCTTTCTCAGAAAACAGAAAAAGGAACATTTCTCTATTCACTTTCTGAGGCTAGTATGACCATGATACCGAAACCAGGAAAAGACAATACCAAAAACCCAAAACAAAACTGCAGACCAAATATCTCTCATGAACATAGACAGAAAAACCTCAACAAATATTAGCAAATCATATCCAACAATAGACTATACATCTAAAAATAAAAATGATAACCAATATCACAATTCTAAAACTACAAAGCTGACTCAATATGAAAAAAATCAAAGCAATCCACCATAGCTACAGTCAAGAAAAACCACATGATCATATCAATTGCTGCAGAAAAACATTTGATAAATTTAATTTCTGGTAATGATAAAAATTCTCAGCAAACTAGAAAGAGAAAAAAACTTCCAGAACCGGATAAAGGGAACTGCCAAAACACACACACACACACAAATAAAGTCATATTCAATGATAAAATATTAAACACATATCTCTAAGACTAGAGCCAAGACAAGGATGTTCACTCTCATTACTTCTAACACAATTAAACATTCTATTGAAAATCTCAGCCAATGCAATAAAGTAAGAAAAAGAAATAAGAAGTATATAAATTGGAAGGGAAGAAATAAAACTGTCCTTATTTGTACACAAAATGATTATCTGCATAGAAAATCCCAAAGAATCTACAAAAATCTCCTAGAACCAATAAATGAGCTTACCAGAGTTATGGGATATAGGGTCAACACAGAAAACAAGGTCTATACATCATTTCTTTCTTTCTTTCTTTCTTTTTTTTTTTTTTTGGAGAGGTTTTCACTATAGGGCGTGTGCGCTCGCCAGACAGACAGAGAGATATTAGAGACAGAAAGCAAGAAATCACCCCCCAGGGAGGATGGTCACGCCGCAATCCCTTCTCCTCCATTCTCCTCTCGGGATCTTGGGCATGCACACACACGCGCCCGGCGTGAGTTTTAAGCCACCAGGTCCGGGACGCGAACCGCGGTCGACTACATGGGAGTCCAGCGACATAGCCATTACGCTAACTGCTGGTTCCCTATATATCATTTCTTATGCTAGCAATGAACAATTAGGAACCAAAAATATTTTAAAACACCATTTATAATAGCTCCAAAAATTGTTAAATATTTAGGTATAAATCTAACAGAATGTGTACAGGAGCTACACATTGGCTTAAATGAAATACAGTATATTAAAGTTAATTTCACCTGTTTCTCTTTAGTTTTCAAACGTTTATTTATTTATTTATTTCATGAGAAAGAGACAGAGAGAGGCAGAGAGACAGATCCCCATGCTGCAATCCATCCCCAGCCTCAGCCCACCCGGATCATTGGTACCCACACACATGTATGCATGCTTGATGTGTACAGACTGGCTCTGGAATGCAAACCCGGACCCTTCGCATGTAAGTCCAGTGGTGTTGTCACTGTGCCACTACCTGGCCCTTTTTTTTTTACTTTTTTAAAATTAATTACTATAGGGGCCAGCAGACGGTGTGGTAATTAAAGAGCTGGATTCCTATACGGCCGACCACGGTTCAAGACCTAGACCCACACTGGGCATGTGTGCGTGCATGCCCCAAATGCCAAGAGAATGGAGGAGAAAGGATTGCATGTGGCCATTCCCCGGGGGTAATCTCTAACTTTTCCTCTCTGTCTTTCTCCAGTGAGCACACATGTCCTATGGCAAAAACCTTAAAAAATAATAATTACTATAGCCCAAAGTGACGCAAGTGGGAAAGCACTACTGAGTGGGTGGGGACCCCACAGGAGGCCTGGGTTTGGTTCTAGATCATCCTGAACAGGCTGGACATGGTGGCGTACTCCTGTAATCCTGGCTAATAGGAGGCTGTGGCAGGAAGGACTGACCCATGGTGAGACCCTAACAAAAAACAAACAAACCAAAAAACGAAATTTTCCCTCCTGTGTTCTCACTCTTTTCTAAGAAAATAAAATTCTATCGTAAATCGCATATGGGTCTTGCATTATATTTCTCTGGGACAAGTGCAGGCCTTGCTTTTCTGGGGAGATTCGTCACAGCACGGCATGCTGGGAAGGACACATCCTCAGGGAGCAATTGTGTACTTAAAGCAAAGCATGCTGGGAACAGTCAAGATGACGTCAGGTATGCAATGGGGCACTCTCCTAGAAAGGTGCTGGGAGGGACTGAGCAACCTTGGAGCAGAGCATACTGAAGCCTTTATTTCCCCAGAGCAATGCATGTAGGGAGGAAGCCCTCCTGGACAGACAAAACCTGCAGAGCAGATTTGAAATGGCCCATGTGAATAGCTGGATAGGACGAGAAGTCTCCTAGGAAACCAGACCGACAGGTGGCAAGAAGTGACCACATCCTCAGAGCAGTACATGCAGGGAGCAGCAGGGCCCCTGGGCAAGGCATGCTGAGGGAGCACAGGGCTGGCCAGACGGGGCAGGCGGGAGGCTGGTACCTGTCCTTGCCCGTCTCACCCCGGAAGAGGTCGTCGAACTGGTGCATGCGGGCAGGAGAGATGGCATAGGCCTCCATGGTGGGGAACGCCAGGCCTGCCCGCTGGATGACACGCACCAGGCTGCCCTGTGGCTTCTGCATCTTGCTGGGTGGGCCCCAGAAGATGAATACAGTTTCGGGGGTCCGGTTGACGAACTCCTGGGGCCTCCGCAGCACACGGAATACGCTGGAATGGGCCACCACCCGGAATGTGGTCTTGTTGCCCACGTCGGCTGAGTAGCCAGTGGTGGGCGCGTCATTCATGCGGATCGTGCACTCGGCCCGCTCGATCTCAGGGCCCAGCTTGGTGCCCAGGAGGTGGCTGGAGCTGGAGATAATCACACACTGGTGGCAGCGGGAGGGCAGCGTCTGCAGGGAAAGGAAAGGCAACATCGTCCAGGCCTCTCTGGTGGGCACTGGCCCTGAGCTCCCTGCAGCCAGACCTCCGGGAGCCAGGACTTATTACGCACATTTTTTTTTCTAGAGAACACATGCCCTCACCAGAGAGAGAGGGAGAGGAGAAAGCATCCCCACAGGGCATGGTCACGCCACAATCCCTTCTCCTTCTCCCCTCCTTTCTGGATTTTGGACATGACACACATGCACCCAACATGTTTCTTTTTTTTCCTTTTTTTTTTTTTTTTTAAGAGATTTTTGCTATAGGTATGTGTACTCATCAGAGAGACAGAGAGACAGAAAGCAAGAAATCACTGCCGAGGGCGCATGGCCACATCACAATCCCTTCTCCTCCATTCTCCTCTTGGGATTTCGGGCACCCACAAAGCACCTGGCTTGAGTTTCAAGCTGCGGGGCTGGAACTCAAACCGCGGTTGACCACATGGAAGTCCAACGCCTTAGCCATAACACCACCTGCTGGACCTGCCCCAGCGTCTTTCTCAAGCTGTTGGTCCAGGACTTGAACCACGTGGTCAGCTGCATGGCAAAAGGCTGCCTCAACCACCAGGCCAAAGATCCAGCCCAAATTATGCTCATTTGAAAGACAAACTGGAACCAGCAGGTAGTGTGGAGGTTCAGGCGGCTGGATCCCACATGGTCGACTGTGCAGTACAAGTCCCAGACCCAGCAGCTTGAAAAACACACCAGACATGTGTGCATGTGTGTCCAAAAAGTCCCAAGAGGAGAAGGAAGAGAAGGGATTGGAGCACGACCATTTTCCCTGGGAAAGAATTTCTCACTCTCTCTCTCTGCCTGTCTCCCTCTGTTGAGTGCACCAAATACATCCTGTAACAAAACTTATTAAATCAATAAAAGCAAAACCAACAAAATATTAAATTAGAGAAAACGAGTTAAAGCCTGCTCATTCAACATCCAGCAAATACTCAGAGCAAGCTGACTAAAGCTAAGCGCTGCGGCAGGACTTTTGCTGATTTCCAGCTCTTTGTGCCATAGGGCGCATGAGTTCTGGAGAGAGGCAGCGAGAGGGAAAGTGCACAACCACCCCCTGGGGGACGGCCAGGCCACAATCCCTTCTTCTCTTCCAGGATCTTGGGCATGCACGTACATGTGCCTGGCATGATTTTCAATCCACCAGGTCGGGAACTCCATGTGGGAGTCCAGCGCCTTAACCACCATGCCACCTGCTGGCCCCTGGAGACTTTTGAGAACTTTTTAATTGTTTTTTTTTTTTTTTTTTGAGAGGTTTTTGATGTAGGGCATGTGCCCTCCCAGAGGGACAGAGAAAGAGAGATAAAGGGAGAAATCACCCCGAGAAATCACCCCCCAGGGGGGATGGCCATACCACAATCCCTTCTCCGTTCTCCTCTTGGGATCTTGGCACGCACGCACACACACCCAGCGTGAGTTTGAGCCACCGGGTTCTGGACTCAAACTGCGATCGACTACATGGGAGTTCAGCAATATAGCCATTATGCCAACTGCTGGTCCCAACTTCTGAGAACATGCAAGAAACTTGGTTGGGGAGACTAACAGGGAACGAAAGGCAGGATAGGAACAATAAGATGGGGGCAGGGATCAATAGTGCCTAGAGCCAGGAGGCCTCTCTGAGCGGAGACCCAGAGACCCACTCAAACCCCTGGGGAGAGCACTCCAGGCAGCAGGAACAGCAAGTGCGAAGACTCTGAAAGACTCCGAGGTGGGAGAGAGCTGGTGTTGAAATCCGGAAGAAGGCAACTTGGTCGGGGTGGAGTTAGGCAGGGAAATGTCACACAGCAGGGCTGGGAGAGGTGCGGGGATTGGAACTCAGGTCTGTATGACACAGATCCCCATTCTTAGCCTCAGCTCCCCAAAGAAACATCTCCTCAAGTGTACTTACGACATTTCTACAAACAAGATACCACCTCGTGGTTTTTTAAAAAAATATTTATTTATTTAATTCCATTCGTTATTATTATTATTTTTTAAATTTGACCAGAGAGAGAGAGAGAAAGGGAAAGTAAGGGAAAGTGAGGCGCCAGGTCCGGGACTCAAGCCATGTGGGAACCCGCACCTTTAACCACTATGACACCTGCTGGCCCCACCGGTTATTAAGGAACGGTGTGGAAGCTACTCTAGGCTCCTGTTTCCCTGCAGATGAAATGAGCGAGCTGGAACCACATGCTCCCTGGGGTCTATTTTCTGCAGGTGGAATTCTCATTCAGCCTTCAAGGCTAAGCTCAGTGCCACCTCCTCCAGGCAGCCTTGCCTGAGCCCTACTCCAGAATCCAGCACCAGGTCCCTCAAAGGATAGTCTTTCCAGCCTGCCTGAACTCTAGTCTTCTGAGGGGCAAGCCAGGCTCCACTTCATCCCATCCGTGTCCAGCACACTCAAGCAGCCCCACTTTATCCCTTTTCAATTCCCCTCTCCAGGGCTCCTAGATTCAGGCGTTAATCTATCTCTAAACACCTGCTAATGGAGCCTTACCAGGGAAGGTGCATGCATATGCAAAGACCCCAAAGAAAATTTAGGAGGGTCAGTGAGGATGAACCCCAGAAATAAACCTGAATTTCATGAGTACCAATGACAAACAGAAGACCCCAGGACTTTTGGCCTCTCTATGCAGCTGCAACGTAGCAGGGGTTGGGAAATCCCTCCCTCACAGTGTGGCCCTAGACAAGTGACTTGGCCTCTCTGAGCCTCAGTTATCCCACCTCTTCAAGGGAGGGAATACGGCTGACCTCGCAGGATCTGTCTGAGGATTACAGGTGACCACTTGCCGGGCACACAGCAGGCACTTGGTGAGGGACAGGGTTACTATGACTGCTTTTGCGTTGTTAAGTACCCAGGTCCTGCCTCTGAGCCCACAGTGCACTCCCCACAGCAACACAGATCCGTGAAGACCAGAGACACGTTTCCGGTTTCCGCCGGGACTCTGACTGAGGAGACAGTGGGATATTAGCACCCAGGGAGGGAGCCTGGAGAGAGCTGAGGCCCAGGGAAGGGCAGGCACATGTCTAGGGTCACTGGAGGCCAGGCCTGGCCTCCCAGGAGGAGGGAGCAGGGACAGTGGGCACCGGGACACCGGAAGTTCCAGTTCCCAGGGAGCTCCCAAGTGGCTGCCCTACCTTGTTGCCCAGAATGGGGATGTAGCCATCCGTGATGCTCCACTTCTTGAGGTTGACGGGCCGGCGGCTGCGGCCCCGCAGGGAGCCATAGTGGAAGACCTCGTTGGCACTGTTGGAGCTGTAGAGGATGAGGATGGTGATGAGGGCAAAGAGGATCACGAACACTGCTGACCGCTGCTCCTGGAGAGGGGAGAAGCCGGTGAGGGCCCAGCCACCCGCGGGCTCCACCTACCTCCTTGCACCGACTGTGTTTGGCTAACTCTTGCTCTTTGTTCCAGACCAGTTCAGGCACTGCCAGGAAGGCCTCCTGGCAGCCCCCTCTGCTCCCCCCAACACAGTACAGATCACACCGCATTCAAACTGCTCCCATTAGACTAGGAGCGCTGAGGATCAGGCCTGGGTCATTCTTGTGCTCTGCCATATCCCGGAGCTCAGGGCAGGGCCGGGAGCACAGAAGGTCCTCAGAGGGTTTGCCGAACTGGATTGGATGTAGGTGTTAGGATTCCTTCCAGCTGCAGCTTAGAGGATGCCTAGAGACAGGTGGGACATCCGAGTGAGAGGGCCTAGGTTTGTCACCTCCAAGTTCCTCTTTTGCCTGCTCAGTGAGAAGGATCTGGGCCCTTTAGAGGTTTCCCTTGTCAGCCACCTGCATATTAAGTTTGTCAGTAGAGGGCGCTGGAGAGACATGGGAGGAGGAAAAGCTTTTACTTCTGGGTTCTGATGGGCTGGCTAGGGAGGCTCAGGCAGAGCACAGCTTCTCCAGAGCCAGCATCCTCCCCAGCCCAGCGGCCTGAGGCCCAAGGCCTGAGGCCAGCCATGCTGCCGGTTAGGCTAGCAGCACACAGCAGGTTCTCGGGTACCCCTCCTCAGCAGAGTGCCTCTGGCTTCTGCGTGATCACAGCTTCCCCAAGCTCAGCTCCTCATGTGTACTCAACACCTGCAGTGCCAGCAGAGCTGGGCAGGCGGTCTGGTATCAGTGACAGCCAGTGGCCTGGAGCTGTTCCCTTTGGGGGGGGTGGTGGCCTTCATATCTGCTCTTCCTACATTCCTCAGAATTCAATCCTGCCATTCCAGAGCCTCCTTGGAGTTAATAATTCTCTGCATTCAACTTTCCCTGTTTGAATCATGTGGTTTCTCTCTCCTGATTAGATCCAGACCAATACGCCCACGCTCCCCGCCCCCAAACTCTGCCCAGGCTGCAGTGGATCCTAGGGAAGGGGCGAGCAGAGCCAAACACACTGGGAAAGCAGGAGTGAATGAAGGATGGGGAATCTGACGGCCTCAGGGTGATGCTTAGTAGACTCATCTTTGATTCTGACCACAGGCCCCGCCCACAGCCCCTGCTCACCTCTACGCCCCTCACCTCTTCCAGCAGTCAGTTCCTTTTTTTCATGTTTATTTATTTTATTTGTTGTTATTATTACAGTTATTTGTTTGTTTTGTTTTTGTTTTTTGTTTTAATTTCACCAGAGAGAGACCAGAGAGAGAGAGAAAGGTCTTTTTTTTTTTTTTTTCCTTGGAGAAGTTTTTGGCATAGGGCACGTGCGCTCGCCAGACAGACAGAGAGAGACAGAAAGTGAGAAATCACCCCCCAGGGGGGATGGCCACGCCACAATCCCTTCTCCTCCATTCTCCTCTCGGGCTCTTGGGCACGCATGCACACGCGCCTGGTGTGAGGTTTAAGCCACCGGGTCCGGGACTCGCACCGTGGTCGACTACATGGGAGTCAAGCAACATAGCCATTACGCTAACTGCTGATCCCAAGAGAGAGAGAAAGTTTAATTAAAAAAGCAAGCCGCCAGGTCTGGGCCTCGAACCACCGTCAGCCATGTGGGAGTCCAGCCCCTTAACCACCACACCACCTGCAGGCCCCACAGCAGTCACTCTCTCAGCTGGTCCTTTACCACAGATAGAATAGTCAGTCAAGCCTAGGAGGACACAGGCGACCCTGGGCCCAGAAAGAGGTGGGGGTTTGCCCCAAACCACTCAGCAAACAAACAGCCACAGCAAGGCTCAAAGGCCGGCCTCCCAGGCTCCTCGGCAGAGAGACACGTGCGCAACGTGGGGCCCATTCAGAGAAGTCAGGCTCTGACCGGGAAGGAACGAAGGGGACTTACTTTGTTGCTACTCATCTCTCTCCGGTGCCTGCTGAGGGGTAGGGGCCAGCGTCCTGCGGGTGGCCCGGGGGGCAGAGATGTGGGGTCACACCTGCAAGCCATCAAAAAGAGATATGGCCTGGACGTCGTCCCCTGCGTCCCGCAGATCAGAGGCCACATCCTCCCCACCGGCTGCCAGCTCTCCTGTACACCCAAAACTCAGGGCTGTACCCGCTTTGCAGACGGAAAGACAGGCCCAGAAAGGGCAGGAATCTGCTTCTCTTCCTGCCCACTCTCCTTCCTGAGCAGAGGCTTTCCCACACCCAGACAGCTGGGGGGCCTGCCCCCACCCCACAGAAGCCCCACTCACACCAAGCTCTAAACCCTGCCGGGGGTCCCTGTGGCTCCGACGAAATGCAGCTCTCCTTGCAAGTCCCTACACTCCCCTGTTCTCACTCTCTTCCAGATGGTGCCCCTCTGCCTGGAACACCCTCCTTGACTGGCAGTCATCCTCCAAGCCTGGGTGAGAGGAACTTCCCTGGGTCCCCACTTAACCCCCAGGCCGGGAGCTCCCACACAGCCTCTCACATCCTCTCCTGCGCCTCCACAGCCCTCCAAAGGCTGCTGGTTCTAGCCCCTGAGGTGGAAATCACCTGACCCTTAGAGGGCTGTGGGGGAGGGCTCTGGGAAACCCCGCCTTGGGCATCTCTCCTGCCTCCCACCCCAGCTCCTGGGGCCTCTGCCCTGAGAGCACCTCCCTCCTACCCCCCCCCCCCCAGGGCCCAGCGCTCTCCAGACCTCAATTTCTCCACCTGTAGAAAGAGTTAAGTACCTGTGTCCAGCCGACCTCCTGCCCAGGCAGGCCAGGGGCAGTACGGAGGTGGCAGGGAGACTGCTCAGGGTGCTCCTGACTGCCTGTCCTCTCAGCTTCTGCCCCCTGACCCAGCAGCTGTTTACTCCCAGTCACCAGGAATAGCCAGAGAATCTCAGCCAAAAAAGGCCACACACACACACACACACACACACACACACACACACACACCCTGCTCCTGATTGGCTAGGTGCTGGCTCCACCCACCACCCACCACCCAACTCGGCCTCTCCCCAGCTTCAGGTTTCTCCAGGCCTGCCCTCACAGCCAGACCTGGAGGCCCCAGCCTCCCAACCTGTCCAGTCCCTACACTAAAGATCCGGGCTCCCTGGACACAAGGAGGGCTTGTCCTTGGACTCTCAGGCCTTCAGGGCAAAAGACCCAGTCCAGGGTCCCAGGGCAGCCCGGTCAGCCCTGCTTCCTCCAGCCTCCAAGGTGCTGACCCGCCCAGCGCCTCCCTCTCTAGGTCCAGCGTCAGTCTCACTACCCATTCCTGCGCAGGCTTCATGCTCCAGACATGCCAGAGCATACCAGTGCCCAGGACCCACCCACCCCCCACCCCCCTTTTTTTTGGGAACAGCCCTCAGCCAGAACCGCCACCCCCTGGTCGCCTGTCACAACCCTGCTCTGAGAAGGACACGGTCCGTGCAGCATATCAGGTGCCAGAGCAAGTCCCGGTTCCACCACTTACTGGCTGGCGGGCCTCGAGCAAGCCATGTGACCTCTCTGAGCCTTAGTCTCCTCATCTGTGAAATGGGAATAACAACAGTAGGTGAAGGGTTCCAGCGGATGTGCAAGGCAGGCACTGGCTGAAAGGTGCTCCCTCCGTGCCTGTTAGTCTGCTAACTCTGGTTCGAGGCCCGGAAACACTCTCCTACCTCAACAGAACCACTGGCCCCTAATAGCAAGGAATGTGGGCCAGGGCCCTACTAAGCATCACCTACTCACTACGTCCTCCCAGCGCTGCGTGGTAGGAGCTCTTAGTCCCCATTTCACAGCCAACCAGAATAAGGTTCAGGGGCCAGACGCCTTGCAAGGCAGCCCAGAGGCAGCTTGGGGAGCCGGTTCACAGGCTTGTTTGCAAGGAGCAGCCCAAGGCTGAGCTGACCGGGTCTCAGTCTCCTGGAGGCGATCTCTGCTGAAGGGACCAGAGACCACCAGGTGTGAGCCCAGCGCCTCGCTGCATCAAGCAGGCCTGTTGGGGACCAGCTTGCTCGGGCTGGGGAGGCAACAGCCCAGAGAGCTGGCCGGGGAGCGCCGACTCGGCTTTGGGGCTGGCATGCAGGGCCGCTGAGTCCGAGCTAGGAGTGGGACCCAGCCCTCGCTGGGGCTTCACTTCTTCCAGCCTGGGAGTCCTTCCGCAGGATCCGACGCCCCCACGCAGCAGCTTGGGAAGAGGGCTCCAGGGAGAAGGGGGAGGGGGCTCCTAATTCCAAGATGATGGGAGGCAAGGGGCACTTGGGTCTACCGGGGGCGCTTACTCTCCGGCCCTCTCGCACGGACCTCCTCCCCAGATCCCGCACTCCGGGGCTCGAGAACCCTAACCCCAGGTGGGGAAGACAGGACGGCGCAGGGTCCCACAGCTCTAACGGGGTAGTCCTCGATAAGAGGCCCAACGCTCCCTGCGACAGCCTTGGGGTGCGAGGACCCTGCTCTCGGAGCGCAGTTACCAAGGCGGAGTGGGTTAGGAGGACCCCCGGGGCCCCGGCATCAATCCCCATCCCTAGCGGTTCGCGATCGCCCCTCCCCGTGCGCAGGCAGAGCCCCCCTCCCGCTGCCAGCCCCAATGC